GGTTTTGGCCAACTTCTGTCCGGCTGAACATACATCTAAGATCCTGCACCTGCCAGCTTGCCTGCTGCACGGTCTCCAGCTCCACATCTTCTACAAGATCCTTAGGCTCGGATCTCCTACAGGCACCCGTGACACTCTGTACCTTGTTATACCCCGTCCTCAACTCAGTTTCGGAACTACAGGGGTCTCAAAGGTTACACTTGCAACCAGGTCTTCACTTTCCTCCACCATGGAGGGGGACCCAAAGGGGGCAGTGAAGGAGGCCTCCTACGGGACCGTAATAAAGGGTCTCCTGTTAGGAATACAGTGCTCTGGGATCAGTGGGAAAGGCCCCAGGCTGAGGGGGAAGAGCACCAAGCTTGGATGGAAGGGCCCCAGGCCCAGAGGGAAGCATTCCAAGCTTGATGGAAGGGCCCCAAGCACAGAGGGAAGATTCCAAGCTTTGATGGAAGGGCCCCAGGCAGATCAGAGGGAAGAGTTCCAAGCTTGGATGGAAGGGCCCCAGGCACAGAGGGAAGAGTTCCAAGCTTGGATGGAAGGGCCCCAGGCACAGAGGGAAGAGTTCCAAGCTTGGATGGAAGGGCCCCAGGCACAGAGGGAAGCGTTCCAAGCTTGGATGGAAGGGCCCTGAGATCAGAGGGAAGGGCCCCAGGACCAGTAACAGGGAACAATGGAAAGGGCCCAGGGGACCAGTTCCAAGGACCCAGGACCGATAGAGAGGGCTCTTGGCTAGGGTCAGGGGGCCCCTCATGGTTTCTTGCCCTGGGACCCTAAAGGGTCTAGTTACACCTCAACCCCAGGGGAGATGGGACAAGAAGTGTAAGGAAAGCCCTCTCGTCAACTCGGCCTCCACCGGGTACATGACCGTGTCACCTCAAATGCTTAGGACGTCCACTCTTATTAGACTCCTTTATTGTAACCAATCAAAATTGATCTGACTGATCCCTACAGCTTAGTGTGCTCATCTTTTGACTCCATATTAGCTGGCCTCCAAGGGTTGAAGTTCCTTCCGGCATTAGAGAGCCGCCACACGAGCCATCATCATTCGGAACCTCCAATTACAGATCGAGTCCAGCGCCCCACCACCCAAAGTTCTCATTTCACAGTATCCGTAGTTACATTTGTTTTGCAAATTTGCAACAATTATTTTCCCTGTTCTGCTCCAACACCCCAACTTTCCACCAACAGGTGACTTCTATTGGTTCAGCTGGATGGACTTGTGTGTCTTTTTTCAACCAGACTATATTTTTATATTTCAAAATATACAGTTGTGCTCAAAATAATAGCAGTGAGTTGTGTTCTGTAAGATGATGGACAACAGCAAGGTGGGTGCTTACAGGAGGGAGGAGCTCCAGGAGGGAGGAACTCCAAGCAGGCGTCACCACAGGGATGTCACTTTAACTGCAAAAACCATTCACAAGGTGGGGCAGGTGGGAGGAGTCAACAATCAGTGAAATATAATTATTTCTGATTCACTTTTAAATTTTTTTAAGGACTTGTGAAATAATTCAGCCAAATTCAAGAAAATATTCACAGGCAGAATTTTGAAAATTCTGAATGAATCTTAAATTTAAAAAAAATAAATAAAAAGACGCGGAACGGGAAGGGGGGGGGGGGGGGGGTTGTGAATCCAGAATTTGTCCCGGTCTGAACATACACCGGCCACATTGCAGCAACTAGTTTTTATATTTGATTGAACTTTTGGATCAGCATCCACCTCATTTTTTTAATTCAAAATTTAAAACATAAAAAAATTGGATTATTAAAAATATTATTATAATATAAAAAAAAAAGTCATGGGACTCGAGAACGGCGCAGCAATTCTGGAACTGATCATTAAACCCGAGCGGAGTGTCCTACAGCGCATTGTAATTTATCTCAAGATAATTTCATGACTTTAATTTTTAATTTCAATTTCTTTCAATTACAATTTGTTCCGATTTAAATTAATTAAATTAATTTATGTAAAAAGTGTAAAAAAAAAATGTTATATATATCTCTCTAATATATATATATATATATATATATATACAGTAATGTGTTCAATATAATATCATATATATATGTGATATATATATTATTAAAATATTATAATATATATACAGTGCATAATCGCAATGATAAAAGTGAATAAAGCTGAAAATCCTTCTAATCCTTTTATTTCCATCCACACAAATGCATTGGGAACACGACACATTCTATTCCAAATCACAACATGAAGAAAAATACATCAAATTTGTGTTGTTCCTCTAAAAAAAATGGAAGAAAAGTGAATATTAGACGGTTCAAAAAAATCGCAGTGTTTGTATTCTTCTTTACAAACTCCAACATTCACTATATAAACTGAGAAATGTTTGAAGATTTTGCTTTCCTTTGAATGACTTCATGAATATTTGGTTGTAGTCGCACTGTTTCTGAGAACTGCTGTACATCTGTGTTGCATGGAGTCCCCCAACTTCTGGCCCCTGTGATCAGGTATTCCAGCCCAGGATGATTGGACCACATTCCACAGTTCTTCTCTATTTCTTGGTTTGGCCTCAGAAACGGCATTTTTGATGTCACCCCACAAGTTTTCTATTGGATGAAGATCCGGGGATTGGGCTGGCCACTCCATAACGTCCATCTTGTTGGTCTGGAACCAAGATGTTGCACGTTTACTGGTGTGTTTGGGGTCGTTGTCTTGTTGGAACCCCCATTTCAAGGGCATTTCCTCTTCAGCATAAGGCAGCATGACCTCTTCAAGTATTCTGATGGATTCAAACTGATCCATGATCCCTGGTATGCGATAAATAGGCCCAACACCGTAGTATGAGAAACATCCCCATATCATGATGCTTGCACCACCATGCTTCACGGTCTTCACAGTGTACTGTGGCTTGAATTCAGTGTTTGGGGGCGTCTGACAAACTGTCTCCGCCCACTAGACCCAAAAAGAACAATCTTACTTCCATCAGTCCACAAAATGTTGCGACAATTTCTCTTTAGGCCGGTCAATGTGCTCTTTGGCAGATTGTAACCTCTTCAGCACACGTCTTTTTCCCAACAGTGGGACTTTGCGGGGACTTCTTGCAGATAGCTTGGCTTCACATCGGGTCTTCTAATTGTAACAGTCCTCACAGGGAACGTCACACCTTCTTTCATCTTCCTGGAGCTGATTGTTGGCTGAGTCCTCACAGGGAACATCACACCTTCTTTCATCTTCCTGGAGCTGATTGTTGGCTGAGTCCGCCCCATTTTGGCTATTCTTCTATCCATTCCAATGGTAGTTTTTCGCTTTCTTCCACGTCTTTCAGGTTTTGGTTGCCATTTTAAAGCATTTGCCATCATTTTAGCTGAGCAGCCGATCATTTTCTGCACTTCTTTCTATGTTTTCCCCTCCAATCAACTTTTTAATCAAGGTACGCTGTTCTTCTGAACAATGTCTGGAACGACCCATTTTCCTCAGAATGTCAGAGAGAAATGCACTGTAACCAGCATGTCCAACATTTGCTGCCTTCCTTCCTTAAATAAGGGCAATGATTGCCACCTGTTTATCAAAGAATGAATGACCTCACTAATAGAACTCCACACGGCTATTATTGTGAACACGCCCCTTTCAATGAGTGATTCAATGACACAGAATCAGCAGCATGCATGTCATGACTGTCGGGTCTGTTGGATTTCTATGACTCTACTACACCTGCTAGGAAATTATCTGCCATGTAGAAATATCATTTCCACCAAAAACTGAGATTGATCCGGTTAGTGATGTCTGACGGCTATTATTGTGAACACAACTGTATATATATTTTATACTGTATGTTGAAATGCGTTTTTATTACAAATATGAAAAATATTTTAAAAAAAATACATTTTAAATATATCCGCAGGTCTTTAAAAATACAAATCTTTCACAAATTGGTCGAATTGAATTTCGATCGAATCCAAAAATGAAAAAAAAAAAAAAAAATTCTGAAAATGAATTAAATATTTGATTACAATGTATCTATTTAAAATGTAACAAAATAAAAAGAATGTTTTCCTTCTGCACATCTATTCCCAACAATAAAGAAAGAAACATTTTCCAGAAGCAGAAACAACGTATCTTTTCATCTCTCCCTGCGCTGCCATCTATGGCGGTCAGAGAGCCCTGCCCCCCGGGGTATCGTTGGTTCGGACCGGATGAAGTCCCTCGCTACCTCCTGTTCAGAATTCACAGCGATCTCCGCGTAACGCCCCTCCCCCCCCTCCCCCGGCCGCTCGATGATTCTAAAACAGCTTCTTAAACCGGGAGACTTTATAAAAATAAATCAAAGGCCGCGGATCGATTCCCCTAACAGGAAGTGGCCGGGACGATTTATCTCCGTGGCAGGTGAGGAAAAACCGAACATTAATTCTTGTCAACTAACCCGAGGAAGAAGTGGCGCGGACGGCGCTGACCGGCGAGGACAGTAACTGCCTGACACCCGGGAGAAGATTAGGAAACGATCCCCCCCACCCCCACCATCCTCGGGTAATAATACACATCGGAGAGCGTAGGAGGCGGGGCCTTGGCTCGGATTCATTAATGGGCACTTACGGCATGCCAAAGTGACATACGATATCACTGATTGAGGGGCCACTTTAGCATTCCTGCAGCAGAGTGAATCAGGATGTTATATAATCAATAGCATCAGCCTAACCTCACCGTCTCTGCCAGCCGCACAGTGCAGCTCACAGCAGCCTCAGGAAACCAGAGAAGGTTCTGCCTGTATTCCGGGTCGGATCCAGAATTCCGGATCATCCAAAGACACGCCTGGCGCCATGTATGTCAATGAGATGTATGATTGTGAGAAGCCTGATGATACTTCGGGGGGATTCCCTGTCCCCTCCCCCTTTCTCAACACCTGTGCCCCCCCAAACTGATGATGCTCCTCCCACTAACCATGGCACATGTTCCCTCCCGTACCCAGCACATGCACCCCCCCTGCCCTCCCCCTCCCCCATGTACCCCCCCCCCCTTCACCCGTACTCCTTCTTACCTTGAACTCCATAGGAGTGTATTTCTCATTCTTGGGCGTGGAGTTGCCCTTGTAGTGGAGGTGATTGGGGGTCGCCGGGTGAATGACGGTGGACTCCTGCGACTGCCTCTGACACCGCTGGCAATAGACGTAGATCACAAACGTCAGCAGGCTAGAGCCGAAGAAACACGACACGCCGGTGGCGATCAGATGGATGAGGCTGAACCCTGCGCTGCGCAGAGACAAGATGGCGGTCACTGGGAGGAGCTACTACAGTTTGAGGACGCCACTCCCACCTACTGTCTACAGGGGGCAGCCAAGAACAGCGTGACTAGAGTGTCAGAGACTGATGGGACAGTGGGGGGGGAGGGGACATTAGAGTGTAAGCTCCTCTGGTACAGACTGATGGGACTGTGGGGGAGGGGGACATTAGAGTGTAAGCTCCTCTGGTACAGAGACTGATGTGACTGTGGGGGAGGGGCATTAGAGCGTAAGCTCCTCTGGTACAGAGACTGATGGGACTGTGGGGGGAGGGGACATTAGAGCGTAAGCTCCTCTGGTGCAGAGACTGATGGGACTGTGGGGGAGGGGACATTAGAGCGTAAGCTCCTCTGGTACAGAGACTGATGTGACTGTGGGGGAGGGGACATTAGAGCGTAAGCTAAGCTCCTCTGGTGCAGAGACTGATGTGACTGTGGGGGAGGGGGGGACATTAGAGTGTCAGCTCCTCTGGTGCAGAGACTGATGTGACTGTGGGGGGGGGGGACATTAGAGTGTCAGCTCCTCTGGTGCAGAGACTGATGTGACTGTGGGGGAGGGGGGACCTTAGAATTCATTAGAGTGTCAGCTCCTCTGGTGCAGACACGGTGTTCGGGTCGGTGAACGATCGGCACCCTTTACCTGCACATTCTTTGTTCTCATCGATGCTGGAGGCCGGCAGAATCACTGGAAGAGAAAAGTGGAAGTCAGGACAGGTTGTTGCAGAATTCAGTCCGTGTGGAAGTTGGGGGTCGCCTCTGACAGCCTCGCATTTTCATTCTCCTAGTCCTAGGGGTCTATTTTGTGAATTTTTTTTGGGGGGGGGGAGTGGTAAAGCAACTCCAGTTCGTTTCTCAGCTCATTTTGTTTGTACATTATTAGGACTGAGGGGCTCTGGAGAGGAGGACTGAGGCCGGGTGGATCGTGTGATGATTTACAGAAAGCCAAGTACAGCACCCTGGTGGCCCCTCCCACCATCCATGATCTGCCTGCATTGTATAGAGAAGCACAGAAACCCATCACCCTACAGGTTCCTATCAGCCACAATCTGCCTGCATTGCATTGAGAAGCACAGAGACCCATCACCCTAATGGCCACTCCCACCAGCCACGATCTGCCTGCATTGCATAGAGAAGCACAAAGACCCATCACTCTACTTTTGGCCACTCCCACCAGCCATGATATGCTTGCATTGCATACAGAATCACAGAGACCCATCACGCTACTGGTCCCTCCTACCAGCCACGATCTGCCTGCATTGCATAGAGAAGCACAGAGACCCATCACCCTACAGGTCCCTCCCGCCAGCCACAATCTGCCTGCATTGCATAGAGAAGCACAGACACCCATCACCCTACTGTGGCCCCTTCCACCAGACATGATATGCCTGCATTGCATAGAGAAGCACAGACACCCATTACCCTACTGTGGCCCCTCCCACCAGCCATGATCTGCCTGCATTGCATAGAGAAGCACAGACACCCATCACCCTACTGTGGCCCCTCCCACCAGCCATGATCTGCCACTGTCGATGGTTGGATGGAGTGGGCTGTGTGGGGGCCGTACCTGGGATCTCGTTGTATATGCACTCTCTGTACTGCGTGTTGTTCCCCACACACTGCGTGGGCCCCGGGCTGTGACTGTCGCAGTAGCGATGGCGGTATTGCGTCCCGTCTTCGTGGCACATACTCCATTCCGACCAATCCGCCCAGCCGCCTGCAAGAGAAGATCCGCTACAGCATACGGGAGCAACACAGACCGGCCAATCAGATTCCAACTGTCTCTGCTTAATGCAGGGTACAGAATGACAGCCGACATCTGATTGGTGAATACGGGTGACGCCCACTGAGTCACACTTTATAAGTAAAGGGCCAGTGGGAGCAGAAAATGCCCCATCATAGCTGTCAGTGGGGGGAGGAATACTGCCCCATCATTGGTGTCAGTGGGAGGAATAGTGCCCATCATTGGTGTCAGTGGGAGGAATAGTGCCCATCATTGGTGTCAGTGGGAGGAATAGTGCCCCGTCATTGGTGTCAGTGGGAGGAATGGTGCCCCATCATTGGTGTCAGTGGGAGGAATGGTGCCCCATCATTGGTGTCAGTGGGAGGAATAGTGCCCCATCATTGGTGTCAGTGGGAGGAATAGTACCCCATCATTGGTGTCAGTGGGAGGAATAGTGCCCCATCATTGGTGTCAGTGGGAGGAATAGTGCCCCATCATTGGTGTCAGTGGGAGGAATAGTGCCCCATCATTGGTGTCAGTGGGAGGAATAGTGCCCCATCATTGGTGTCAGTGGGAGGAATAGTGCCCCATCATTGGTGTCAGTGGGAGGAATAGTGCCCCATCATTGGTGTCAGTGGGAGGAATAGTGCTCCATCATTGGTGTCAGTGGGAGGAATAGTGCTCCATCATTGGTGTCAGTGGGAGGAATAACGCCCCATCATTGGTGTCAGTGGGAGGAATAATGTCCCATCATTGGTGTCAGTGGGAGGAATAGTGCTCCATCATTGGTGTCAGTGGGAGGAATAGTGCTCCATCATTGGTGTCAGTGGGAGGAATAGTGTCCCATCATTGGTGTCAGTGGGAGGAATAGTGCTCCATCATTGGTGTCAGTGGGAGGAATAACGCCCCATCATTGGTGTCAGTGGGAGGAATAATGTCCCATCATTGGTGTCAGTGGGAGGAATAGTGCTCCATCATTGGTGTCAGTGGGAGGAATAGTGCTCCATCATTGGTGTCAGTGGGAGGAATAGTGTCCCATCATTGGTGTCAGTGGGAGGAATAGTGTCCAATCATTGGTGTCAGTGGGAGGAATAGTGTCCCATCATTGGTGTCAGTGGGAGGAATAGTGTCCCATCATTGATGTCAGTGGGAGGAATAGTGCCCCATCATTGGTGTCAGTGGGAGGAATAGTGTCCCATCATTGGTGTCAGTGGGAGGAATAGTGCCCCATCATTGGTGTCAGTGGGGGAATAGTACTCCAAGGGTCATATAAAGGCAAGCAAAGGGCCACACCCGGCCCCTGGGCCGCAGTCTGGGCCGGACACTATATGAATAGATACAATGTATCTCCTTCGATGAGATGATTTCTTCTCACAGATTCCTGGAAATGATTCACTCTCTGGGACTCATTAGTCTGTCTAGGAATAGCGCGAGTTGCAGATATGGGCGCGGAGGGGGGGGGGGGGGGGGGGGGCGGAGGGGGGGGGGCTGAGGGGGCGTCACGTCTGCGACATCATCGGTTATTCAAGAAAGCGCCCGGAGCGTCGGCATCTCCAGCAACCTTCCCCCCCCCGCCCCCCCGGGAGGTGTCACTGAGAGGTCCTTAACATCCCAAATTCAATCACCAGAACTGGAAGCGCGGCGCCAATTCCCCCGCCGCACGCCGTGGGAATCATTTAACGAGACGACTTATAAAATATGTATTTATTACAAATTTGTCAAGTAAATAAAAAAGAAAATCGCGGGAAATAAATGTCAGCTGGCGGGCGGCGCTGGCGGCGATTACAGGCGCTGATTACAACGTCGCTCATCAAAAAGGAAACCGCGCGCGGGTCCGCGACGCCTCCCCCTCCCCCCACCTTCTTGACTGCACTGATCTTTTATCAAAGCCCTGGGTTCGGGTTCTCCTTTTTTGGCGACGAGAAGTCACCTGACTCCGCCCCTTCCGCGATCCCAACGTAACGCCATCCAGGTCGCGATTAAATTGGCGCCGCGCCGCGGGCTGAGAATTAAATAAAAAAAGACGGGAAGCAGCTGTGTTATTGGACGCCAATCAGACATTGCCGCAAAATTCCATCGCCATCTAAGAAAAAAAAAAACCACGTGAATAATTTATGACCGTGCTGGTACAGCTCCAAAGCCGTCGTTGTTTGTTTACCTGATGCGGGGATGTCGGTGCAAAATCTCACTGCGATTCAGGCGGGGTCAGAGATGCAGCGGCGGCGTTCCGCGTGATGTCGAGTCGGACTGACAAGATCAATATACCGCACGGCGGTCGCCTCCCACCGCTGATCCGCCACCGCAGGAGAGTGTCGCATCGCGTTCCCACTTCATTCCGCGCATTGTGCATCAAATATCGTATTTCCTCCCTAAACGGCCAAGTGGGCACAGCGGATGTACAGACACGGGAACTCGGCACAGGGATGGTGGGAACCCCTCATAATGGGCACAGCGGATGTACAGACACGGGAACTCGGCACAGGGATGGTGGGGGAACCCCTCATAATGGGCACAGCGGGCGTACAGACCCCGGAACTCAGCACAGGGATGGTGGGAACCCCTCATAATGGGCACAGCGGGCGTACAGACCCCGGAACTCAGCACAGGGATGGTGGGAACCCCTCATAATGGGCATAGCGGGCGTACAGACCCGGGAACTCAGCACAGGGATGGTGGGAACCCCTCATAATGGGCACAGCGGGTGTATAGACCCCGGAACTCAGCACAGGGATGGTGGGAACCCCTCATAATGGGCATAGCGGGTGTACAGACCCGGGAACTCAGCACAGGGATGGTGGGAACCCCTCATAATGGGCACAGCGGGTGTACAGACCCGGGAACTCAGCACAGGGATGGTGGGAACCCCTCATAATGGGCACAGCAGGCATACAGACCCAAGAACTCAGCACAGGGGATGGTGGGGGACCCCTCATAATGGGCGCAGTGGGTGTACAGATCCAGGAACTCAGCACAGGGATGGTGGGAACCCCTCATAATGGGCGCAGTGGGTGTACAGATCCAGGAACTCAGCACAGGGATGGTGGGAACCCCTCATAATGGGCACAGTAGACATGTATTGTAGGTCCACGAACCCCCTCCTGCCCCCCCCTCCTGTGGATGGACCCCCAATACGGGGGGGCGGGGTCACCTCTTTAAAGCCATGACTGCCCATTTCCATCTGCCCATCCTTCACAGAATGCCCACCCCAGCCCCGCCCCTGCTGCCCCGCCCTGTACCTTCACAGGGGTAGGTGTTGCAGAGCGCCTCCTCCGTGTGCAGCCCGATGCAGATGTCGCCCCCATTGGAGGGCGCAGGGTTGGTGCAGGTTCGGGTGCGCTGATAATGTCCTCCCCCACACGTAGCCGAGCACTGCGTCCAGGATGACCAGCAGGACCAGGAACCCTTCACTGCGGAGGAGACAACAGACACACGGGTTAGATCACCGCCAATCACATACACTTAGAGCTCCGCCCTCACGTCAGCCCTGAGGACCTTCCCAGTGACACCTACAGCAGATTGGTGGTACTGCCTTGCAGCACCGGGGTCCTGGGTTCAAGTCCTGCCCAGGACGCTGCTCGTGCGATTGGCTCACTGGTCTGCACTAAGATACAAATCCGATTTTAGGTGTCCCCTGCAATAGGAATTTCAGTTTCCGGTTTAAATACTCCCCAAGGGTTAAATAACTTCTAAAAAGGGATGCAGACCCCGCAACTTTCCTCATCCGAACACTGAGCGCGCACCAAGTGGGGAACCCGAGTCTATGCATTAAAGGGTAAAAAAACTAACAAAAAAAAAAGCCCAAAAAAAAAAAAAAAAAAAAAAAAAAACAAACCAAACCAAGCAAAAACACACACACATATATATATATATATATATATTTTTTAAATAAATTCATAATAATACTAAAAAAATATTATTAAAAACCCAAACCTGATAAAAAAAATAATACTACATTATTATTATTTATATATTTTGTGTTAGGATTTTTATTTATTATATTATTATTAATAAATAATAATAATAATAATATTAATAATAATTATAATACATTTTTTTATGGGTTAGAGGGTTAATACAATAAAGAAATAAATAAAAATCATCAGAAATACAAAATAAATCAAATAAATAATATGTAATAATAAATAAATAATGAACCCCTAACCAGGGGCGGGCTGACCATTTGGAAAACTCAGGCACTGCCCGAGGGCCCGGGGTCAGTATGGGGCCCCAGGAGATGCCCCCGGTACCTACTTCATAGGCTTTTTTGAGTTTGGGCAAGGACACAGGGGCCCCATGATCCCCTATTGCCCGGGGGCCCCCATGAGTTTGTCAGTCCGCCCCTGCCCATAAACCATGAAAATATGAATAAAAAAAATATGGAGTCTGATCCATTATGCTCAATCCACAGATCCGAACCATTCTGCGGGGAAAGTCGGAGGGGGTGTCACCAAGTGTTACCGCAACGGGTGACACCATCCCTAGGGACGCTTCTGCTCCCTTTATATTGTAAAGCGCTGAGCGCCATAAATCCTGTATAATAATAATAATATATAATAGTAATAATAATAAATAATAATAATAATAATAATAAATAATAGTAATAATAATAATAGTTAATATATAAAAATAGTTATAAAATATATAAAAGTAATAATAATAAATAATAATATATAATAGTTATAATATATAAAAGTAATAATAATAAATAATAATATATAATAGTTAATAATAATATAATAATAATAATAATAATAAATAATAAATAATAATAATAGTTATAATATATAAAAAAGTAATAATAATATAAAAATAATAGTAATAATAATTAATATATAATAATAATAATAAATAATAATAATAATTATATAATAAAATAATATAATAGTAATAATAATATATAATAATAATAATAAATAATAATAATAATAATAATAATAAATATAATAATATATAAAAGTAATAATAATAAATAATATTAAATTATAATAATAATAATAATATATAATAATAATAATAATAATATATAAATAATAATAATAATAATAATATATAAATATAATAATAATAATAGTTAATAATATATAATAGTAATAATAATAATATATAATAATAATAATAATAGTAATAATAATAATATATAATAATAGTAATTATAATAGTAATATATAATAGTTATAATATATAAAAGTAATAATAATAAATAATAATAATAGTAATAATAATATATAATAATAGTAAAAATAATAATAGTTAATAATATATAATAGTAATAATAATAATATATAATAGTAATAATAATAATATATAATAATATACTAAAAATAATATATAATAGTGATAATAATATAATAATAATATATATAATAGTAATAATAATAATATATAATAATAATATATAATAATATTAATAATATATAATAGTAATAATAATAATATATAAATAATATATATATAGTAATAATAATAATATATAAAAATAATATATAACAGTAATATTAATAATATATATAATAGTAATAATAATATATAATAGTAATAATAATATATAATATTAATATATAATAAATAATAATATTAATATATATAATAAAATAATAATATTAATATATAATAATACATAAAAATAAAAAAATAATAATATATAATAATAATGTTGATCTAAAGGCTCTCTCCCTTTTCAATGGTTCAGAGGAAGCTGATGGAGAGTAAGGCCAAGCCCCCTTGTGTGTGTCAATGATGGACGCGCAGAGCATGGCTCCGGAGCGAGCCTGCACGAGTGCCCCCACAGCAAGTCAGCCATGTGATAGGTGAGGGTCCCCGTGAAGAACACCGCATTGAGTCCCCGTCTGGCCATTCTGCCGTGCAGAAGCCAGTGTAGACCCGTACACACAATTTCCAGGCTTGCTGGCCGACAACATCGATCGTTTCCAACAAGCTACAGCAGCCAATCGCATTCCAGGTCTGAGCCGCTCGATCAGCGCAGATTCATTGTCGATCGGCCCAGGTGAATCGCCGTGCTCCCCAAACTGATCTCTCAACTCACTGGGGTGTCGCAGCAGCCTGAGTCGCTCTCTGTTGGGAGGCGAGGGGTTAATTAACTGAGTCGAACGTTTTCTATAAATCATTTTAATATAAAGTGCGGAGAAGCTGCCGAGGATAAAAAATAAATTAGCATAATCACTTAACACTCTTAATTAAAAGCTTCGCTCCTGTCGCCCCGCCATCCATATTTAGCAGTTATTAGCAGCCGCAGGTAACGTACAGCAGACATGCCATCCAGCTGAAGACACATCGAACGATCTCACAGAAGAGAACATTTCCATGACAGCCGAGGATTCTGGGTAATAAAATCCGCATTTAGTGCGAGATATAGGAGGATCTGCAGACGTCGGACCGAATTCTCCAGACTCCATCCGTGACATGAAGGTTCCATGGACATTGCAGGTTTCTGCGGACCGCCGTCTACTTCGGGGGGTCGATATCGCTGCAATCTCACCGCGGCGTGATTGTTATCCACTTTATCAAATAGACATGCTGGACTGATCGACTTCTGACAGCGCCACGTCCCAATCCCAGCCTATGCTGGACCGATCGACTTCTGACAGCGCCACGTGCCAATCCCAGCCTATGCTGGACCGATCGACTTCTGACAGCGCCACGTCCCAATCCCAGCCTATGCTGGACCGATCGACTTCTGACAGCGCCACGTGCCAATCCCAGCCTATGCTGGACCGATCGACTTCTGACAGCGCCACGTGCCAATCCCAGCCTATGCTGGACCGATCGACTTCTGACAGCGCCACGTCCCAATCCCAGCCTATGCTGGACCGATCGACTTCTGACAGCGCCACGTCCCAATCCCAGCCTATGCTGGACCGATCGACTTCTGACAGCGCCACGTCCCAATCCCCAACCCAGCTATGCTGGACCGACCGACTTCTGACAGCGCCACGTCCCAATCCCAGCCTATGCTGGACCGATCGACTTCTGACAGCGCCACGTCCCAATCCCAGCCTATGGTGGACCGATGGACTTCTGACAGCGCCACGTCCCAATCCCAGCCTATGCTGGACCGATCGACTTCTGACAGCGCCACGTGCCAATCCCAGCCTATGCTGGACCGATCGACTTCTGACAGCGCCACGTCCCAATCCCAGCCTATGCTGGACCGATCGACTTCTGACAGCGCCACGTGCCAATCCCAGCCTATGCTGGACCGATCGACTTCTGACAGCGCCACGTCCCAATCCCAGCCTATGCTGGACCGATCGACTTCTGACAGCGCCACGTCCCAATCCCAGCCTATGCTGGACCGATCGACTTCTGACAGCGCCACGTCCCAATCCCAGCCTATGCTGGACCAATTGACTTCTGACAGCGCTGTGTCCCAATCCCAGCCTATGGTGGACCGATCGACTTCTGACAGCGCCACGTCCCAATCCCAGCCTATGGTGGACCGATCGACTTCTGACAGCGCCACGTCCCAATCCAAACCTATGCTGGACCGATGGACTTCTGACAGCGCCACGTCCCAATCCCAGCCTATGCTGGACCGATCGACTTCTGACAGCGCCACGTCCCAATCCCAGCCTATGGTGGACCGATCGACTTCTGACAGCGCCACGTCCCAATCCCAGCCTATGGTGGACCGATCGACTTCTGACAGCGCCACGTCCCAATCCCAGCCTATGGTGGACCGATCGACTTCTGACAGCGCCACGTCCCAATCCAAACCTATGCTGGACCGAGCGACTTCTGACAGCGCCACGTCCCAATCCAAGCCACAAAATACATGAAATGTAACCATTTGCTGTCCCGAGGCGGTTTGTGAATGTTCTGGAGCTTTAGAGGTTAAATCGGAGGGGAGGGGGGGTTTGAACGAACCAATAAACATGTCAGAGCTGAGTTTGTGATCACATGGCTTTGTCTAGGACCAATCAATAAGTCAGCTTTGGGCTCTTGATCACATGACTAGGTCTAGGTCCAATCAATAAGTCAGCTTGGGCTCTTGATCACATGACTAGGTCTAGGTCCAATCAAGATGTCAGCCCTGAGTTTATGATCCCATGGCTTTGTCTAGAACCAATGAACATGTCAGCACTAAGTTTGTGATCACATGGCTTTGTCTAGGACCAATCAAGATGTCAGCCCTGAGCTCACGATCACATGGCTTTGTCTACGACCAATCAAGATGTCAGCCCTGAGCTCACGATCACGTGGCTTTGTCTAGGACCAATCAAGATGTCAGCCCTGAGCTCACGATCACGTGGCTTTGTCTAGGACCAATCAAGATGTCAGCCCTGAGCTCACGATCACGTGGCTTTGTGTAGGACCAATCAAGATGTCAGCCCTGAGCTCACGATCACGTGGCTTTGTCTAGGACCAATCAAGATGTCAGCCCTGAGCT